TATTATTATTATTATTATTATTATTATTATTATTATTATTATTTATTTACTCGTTTTAGAATCATTTATAGCTATATTGGCTAAGTTGATACTTAATTCTAACTTTTTATGTTTTATAAAAATTAAAATGACAACAACAAATTTAAAATTTAAGATCTTATAAATATTACTCTAAGTAATAATAATTAAAAATTATATTACAATGGCAAAAAAAATTCAAGTTTAATTACTAATATATCTTTAATTTTTTTAAATTTTTTTTAATATATATCTTAAATTTTAGAGACTCAAATATTTTTTTTAAAAAAAATACTTGAATATATTTTTTTTACAACTAGTTGAATATCAAATCTTAAAAAAAATAGATTAGTAGTAAATTAAGGAAGATATGAAAGAGATTAGTGAGAAGAAATTATTAAATGATCCTAAATTACATGATTCTCAACTAATCTTTATATAATATGCATGTAAGTATTATCAAAAAAATTATAAATTAAAAAAAGTACACTGTGAAAAATAATACTAACCTCTGCCAAAGATCATGAGCACATACAAGATAAGTATTATCCTTCTAACATAATTTATTCTTCATCCAAGATCAAGATTCAAAGTTTAAACAATTTGATTAAGGAACATAAATTACTAAGTTGCTACCATTTGGGACAACCAATATTATATATATATATATATATATATATATATATATATAATAAATAAAATAAAAAATAAAAAAGAAGTTGTCCCACACAAGCCAAATTCTAGATAATAATCAATTGGGCATGTAAAATTAATTACCCAACCGGTAGCCACTAGCTAGAGTACCGACACCTTAAAACACTAGACTTACCGGCCAAGATCTATTTATTCATTCGTGTAAACGTAATGAAAGATATTAATTAACACGTGATTTTTATTATCATGCAAGATAGATATTTATTTTATATAACTAAAATTTATAATAAATAAACATTTTTAAATATATTAATTATATTATAATTAAAATTTATAAATAAATATATTTAACCTATAAAACATATTTTAATTTTTTGATAAATAACTTATATTATAATATATTTAAGGTTTAAGATTTTTCACAAGAAATATTAAACACTAATATTTTAAGTCTAAAATATTTTCATTTGATATTTTTAGCAAGAACAATTATGAAAGTATGAATAACAATTAAAGAATTACTATTTTACCCGATCATATTTATAGGATTTTGATACAATCGATCAAATTTATTATGTCATTTAGACTATGCCATCATTTTACAATTTAATACTAATACTATTATATTTTTCACTTTAGTCCCAAATTAATTAAATTAATTTTACTTTTAAGTTCATGGAAATCAAGGACTGTTTAAGTGAGGAATGACATGAACAAAAGAGGAGAAGGGGAACTATTGGATTATGTTACAGGTTTACCGGCTATTATAGGGTATCAAATATTTTATATATGGTTATGAATTATTTATAAATAGACTCCTTGTATTGTACTGTTCAGACATTAATTCAGATCAATTCATTTTTGCTTCCCTTCACTGTGGCTGATCTTATTGCATCTTTCATTTTCTTTGTTCACAAGAAGTTCATACTTCTAATATGGTATCAGAACAAATCAACTCAAACATGGCAACATGGCAACACAAACGAAAGATCCTACTCAAGATCCAAGCAACCCTCTCTTCCTACATCATTCGGATGGACCCGGGCTTGTTCTCACCTCTCAGCCTCTTGATCACAAAAACTATACCACATGGAGTCGTGCGATGCATGTGGCTCTCTCCGTGAAGAACAAGCTTGCCTTCATAGACGGAACCCTCCCGAAACCCGCTGCCACAGATTCTACCTTCGCTGCTTGGAACCGTGGAAATAATGTGGTTATATCTTGGCTCTATAACTCTGTCTCAAAGGATATAATCACGAGTATTCTCTTTGCAACCACTGCAAAATAGATTTGGGATGACTTGAAAACAAGATTTTCAAGAAATAATGGACCTCAGATATTTCAACTCAGGCGCCAATTGATGTCTCTGCAACAGGGATCAAATGATGTCAGCACATACTACACCAAATTGAAATCAATATGGGAGGAATTAGCTGGTTACAAACCAAATTTTCAGTGCACCTGTGGAGGACTTCAATCCGTGGTCAGATCTTACTCTCTGATCCTCTTCCTTCAATTGGTAACGTTTTTTCCCTAATTCTTCAAGAAGAAGCTCAGAAAGAAATTGCCATTACACATAGTTCTAATGATTCTGAACACATGGCTTTCATTGTGAACCAACATGCTAAAATACATTTTGATAGCAACAAAAGTGGATTTACTAAGAAAGAAAGGCCGAAGTGTGCTCATTGTGAGATGTTCGGTCATACCAAAGATAAATGCTACAAACTTGTGGGGTACCCCCCTAACTATTTCAAAAATCGTCAACCAAAAGCTGTGAATCAAGTTGAAAACTCAACTGATTCTTTGAATTTGAATTCCTCATCTAATCTGACTCCTGCTCAGTGCCAACAGCTGATCACTTTTCTGACTAATCAAATGCAGTCTGAAAATAATCTTGATGCTCTAGCCACCAATGTTACAGGTATTTGTATGAATGTAGAATTTCCTGACAAAGATAACACTTGGATCATAGACTCAGGGGCTACATCTCATATATGTTGTTCCAAAAACATGTATAACTCATATTCACCTATTCATAATTCTAATGTTTTGCTGCCTAATTCCACTAAAGTTAAGGTAGAAGGAATAGGGAGCATCAGGCTAAATGATGATATTTTTCTGCATAATGTTCTTCATATACCTAACTTTAGATTCAATTTATTATCTTTATTAACCCTCATCAATGAGAATTGTTTCAGATTTGTTTTAGACACTAACAG